TTCTTTTCCAGAGTAGTCATAAAAAGAGAATCGAGGGGTCTGTAGGCATGAGTGCTCAGGTACGCCGTCAGTATAAATTCCTAGAAGTCTTTTTCAATTGTATTTGTTTTAACGAAAAAAGAATAAAGAAAGTCCCGAAGAGCGGAACAGCTGTCCAACTCCCCCAAATACAAGGGAGCGGGCACTGCTCTCAGCTTGTCGTAACAACGAAAGAAAAATCCACATACCGAAAAAGAAATTTACCTTATTCCTAGAATGGAATATACACATTGGTACAACAGGAGGCTCGAGAAACCTCGAGCGTAATATACGCTACCATCGGAGAGACTTTAGCCACATCTTATCCCGAATGAGGCGATCAAGAAACTCGTGGGCCTTGTAGTACCCGCATACGACAGCTCTGTGGAGCTTTTCGGGTCGAAAACCTGTTCGAAGTCAGAACCAATCTCAATGACTAGTAATTTGAAGCCTTAAGAAAACGGTTTTATTTCGGCACTCGCTTCCTTCGTCTTATGTAAAGTCTAGTTTACTTTTTCGATTCGGAACTCTTAGTCGAGCTGATGGCGAGATAAATTTTTTGTTCGAGGTTCAAGAGGAAGGAGAGGAACCACTGCCCAATGGTGCTTTTATGAAAGTATGGTCACTGGTGGCTAATACCTTGGCGAGACTATCGAACCTGAAATCCACTTTCCATTGCTCTTTTTAGGTTGGCATAATATAGCAAGAGAGTGCCAAAAAAGAACACATACCTATCACTTTTGAAAGGTTTGGAACCCTTACTCAACATAGGGTAAAAAAACCCGACATACCCTTTTTTTAGAGCGTATAAGGGGAAAAGAGCTCTTGCATCGTTAGCCACTTTTCAGCATTTCCTGCCTGAGTTGTTGACCATCACCTGACCTCACACGGGAGGCCCCGTTCTGAGTGATTCTCTTCCAAAAAAGTCTACATGTGATATTCCGAAAACAGAAACATGTAATTTAGTAAATTAGAACCCATTGTGGGGTGTAACCAGGGAACAACTATCAACTAGTTTGAAAAGTTCTTCCATTTAGTAATGGAAGTCATCCGTTGTCACTTTCTAAGGGTATGGTAGAGAGGCTTGAGAAGGTGGACAATCCTTCAGTGAAGACCTAACGAGAGGCTGAATTCAAACACACCCAAAATCCACAAGAATCGTACGAACATCTATGGAGCGTAGCAAGGAACCTTGGCTTCAGCTCTCGTCACCTCACTCAATCCTATAGTGGAAACTCGAGTCGAGGCGCTGCAAGCGAGCAAAGAAGCACTTCTTGTAACAAAAACAAAAAGCCCATGGATCCGCAAAGGCTTGTTCTGGACCACGCCACATCATTGAGATTGCCACCTTCCTATTTCAACTTGGATTGAAAATACTGGACAGGAAAGGAAAACAAACTGTCTAGCCTTTCAAGCCATAATAAGTAAAGGGGGATGGTTGTTGGCTGCTTTAACCCCACTTCTTCTCAACATCGATCCTATCACATACTTCCTCAAGCAGCGGAAGACTCAATGCCCAAGCAGTTACACGTTGTTGATTTCAGACTCCTCCGGTAGAGCCAAAAACCCTTCAGTGAATTGTCTTGTGTTACTAAGTTTCAAGACGTTCCCTGAATCCTACACGATGTTTTGGTTGCAGGTACTAGTACATCCAAGCCTTAGAGAGCCACTGGACTCCAGAAAAACTATTATGAAGTGCCATTAGCCCAGGTCAGGCGACCCGAAAGGACAAGACATAAACCACCCGCTAAGAAAAGGGTAAATAAGACAAGAGATCAAGCTGGCAAGTCAGGGATAGAGGATGGATTTTTTCAGGGTGTGTGAACTTCCTTATATATGAAGCCACATGTGCGGGTGTGAAAGGATTTTATGGTCTCGGTCATTCTTCTATGAAATATCGATTCTATCAATCATTCCATTTCATAATCAAGTCCCCCCTGAATAAGTAAGGCCCCCCGATTCCCCAAAACAGCTCCTGGCCTTACCCAGCAAAACTGGCTGAAGGTATTCGGCATGGGAGGGAGAGAGCATCTGAAGGGTTACTTCACCTTTGGTGATCACACACCGACCCGGGCAATCACTAGCTACAATCAATGGAATTTTGATTTAAACTATTAACAAAAAAAGCATCCTGAAGCCCCACCCACCTTTTCTATATAGCCGCATAACCATAACAAGATTTCTCTAATTCCATACCAAACTAAGACCTTTCCTACAAGGAAAGAAAGAACCCACGGCTCCCCTTTTTGTATACCCCCCTCACTCCCCCCGGAGTGAGTTCTTTTCTGCTGGATTTAAGGATTCTTGTCTTTTGCTCATATTGTCTCCTATGGAGATGGATTGATATGGGGCTTTCTACTTCTTACCTATTCACTTCTACTTGAATCGTTCAACGAGCGTTATAATGATCCAAAGGAAAATCTCCTGGCTCAGCACTAGCCAACTTGTGGGGTCTCACATACCCTGCAGACAATAACCGCAACAGTCACCAGTCTGGTCCCCTACCCCACAAAGTAGCTTGATGGCCGAACCACTCCCAAGGCGAATAGTGCCCTAGGGGCCGACCCGGCACCGACCGGCTGAGACTCCCGCGCAGTAGGAGCGGACTGAGTCGGTATTCGTCTACGAGAGGCGCACTCGTATGCCTTTCGAGGCTTCCCCCTTGTAAATATTCTCAGGTAAGAAAGCAGAACCTCACCTCTTTCTGTTGCTGAACATAAACCTACTTTAGATCCACTAGAGCATGTAGATCTACTAGACTACAAAGAAAGAAGTTGGTAGCAACAGAACTCTTTCTAAACCACTAGAGATAGTCACCTACAATTATCAGTCTACCTACGCAACATTGTAGAGAGACGTTCGACTCCACGTGTCCGCTGAATTGTTCCGAAGTAGCAAGACGAGTGAATGAAGGCGCTGTAAGTAGTAGTGAATACTTTTTCCATGGAGACAAACCCCTCCGGCGGAAACATTCCCTTTATCACTATAGACTGAACTCGCTGTGAACCTTTTCGATTATTAGTAGCGGCTCGTGAAGTAGACCTCTTTCTTTACAAAAAAAAGGATACATGCCCCTTTCCTTACAATCGAGTGGCTTTCCGCTCCTCTCTCTTTGTTTCGATGAAAGCCTAAACGCTTGCGTTCTACGGGGAACTTTTTTAACTATTTACCTTCGTCGGAAGCAAAGGGAAAAAACTCCAAAACAAGTAAATAAAGGGTGCTTGTGTCGTGTTTTTGAGTTCCTTGGCTTGTATTCTAATAGTAACCACATGAAGAAAGCGGGGAGCATGGTCCCTAGTCTCGTTTTTGCTGAGCCTAATTCTCTATGGCATGGACGTCTTTGATTGGATGGAGACAGATATATAGAAAGTTTGTAGTGAGGGTTCTTGTAAATCACTAGGTAGCCTAGCTTGACCCAAGCAATGCCCAAAAGTCCCATGCCTTTCTTGGTCGGACCAACCCAACCGGCGATTTCTGACAAGTCTTTCTGAATTGGAAGAGCAAGAAGCGGAACTAGAAGAAAACTTTATTTATCTTTATGGATAACCAATTCATTTTCAAATATAGTTGGGAGACTTTACCCAAGAAATTGGTCAAAGAAATGGAAAGATCGGAACATGGGAGTAGATCTGATATCAATATGGACTACCTATTTCAATTGTTGTGCTTTTTGAAATTGCATACATATACAAGGGTTCAAGTTACGATCGATATTTGTGGAGTTGATTATCCCTCTCAAAAACAAAGATTTGAAGTGGTCTATAATTTACTGAGTATTCGGTATAACTCATGCATTCGTGTACAAACCAGTGTAGATGAAGTAACACGAATATCTCCGGTAGTCAGTCTATTTCCATCAGCTGGCCGGTGGGAGCGAGAAGTTTGGGATATTTTTGGTGTTTCTTCAATCAATCATCTGGATCTACACCGTATATCAACAGATTATGGTTTCGAGGGTCATCCATTACGAAAATACCTTCCTCTGAGTTGATATCTGGAAGTACGCTATGATGATCCAAAGAAGCATGTGGTTTCTGAACCCATTGAGATGACCCAAGAATTTCGCTATTTCGATTTTGCTAGTCCTTGGAACAACGTAGCGATGGAAAATTCAGAATCAGAATAGGTCCAGTATAGGGGACAAATCAATAGGAAATGCTATTTTCTTCATAAGAATAAGAATGAACTTTTATGAAATGAAAGAGTTTCACGGGAATTGTCTTGATCGTCGGATATCATTGAGAAATAAATAGGAAGAAGTGTTATCGAAAGATTTCCTGCAATTCTTCCCAGTATGGAATGAGTAAAGAATCAAGCTACATGTCTCGATCTATATGAAACGCACTGGTTTTTTTTTCTTTCTTTCAGTTTCATTGATAACAGAAAAGACTTACTCTAAAGGGGCGCTAGCGCTTGACTAATAAGATATCAAAGGGGCCTGAAAAAACATAATAGGATGCTACTCTATGATCACTTCACCTCTTCAAGCTCCGCCCCTTCTTTAAAAAATCAACAAACAGCGCTAACGAGAAAGAAAAGGGATGCACTAAGGCGCAACGGCTTTCGCGCAGCTGCTACGCCCTTGCTTCTTTCCTTATCTTACTTAGTAAAGCAACCTTTTGCGCTAGGCACTCACCTTTTTTGTCTGGGTGGAAGCTGGCGGGCAGGGATTTCTTAACCGAATACACGGAATTGGGATCTCTGTTGCATGCAAATCTTTCTATCGAGAAAGCTTCGCTTATTCAAAGGGCTTCTTATTTAGAACCCTTTTTTTTCTTAGTTGTAAGTAAGTGTTGGTAGGAGAGGTGGGATGATGATGAGTATATAAATCAAATAAAGACCAAAAAAGAATTAATGACAAGATAAATTAGATATCTATGGAAAAAATAATGATGTAGAGGGCGACTGAAAAGGATGCTCGCCCTACAGGGAGAGTGGTGGCCAGGGATTCTCTACAATGACACTGTTGTAGACCAATTGAAAGGGATGTAGCGCAGTTTAGTAGCGCCTTTGTTTTGGGTAAAAAACGTCATGGGTTAAAATCCTATCATCCCTACCTATTCTTCTCCTCTGGGCAGTAACGAGAGATCCATTGAGATCAATTCAAATTGGACATACAGATTTTCATTTTATGAGACTATATGCATGCAATATGTATTGGGGGTACAAAAAGAATCATTTTTCTTTACAGTCGTGTCTACTATGATAAGAAAGCGCTCTTAGTTCAGTTCGGTAGAACGTGGGTCTCCAAAACCCGATGTCCTAGGTTCACATCCTACAGAGCGTGATTTTTTTTCTTCTTAGATCGAACTAGAATGAAATAGATTCATTCAGGAACTTTCACAACAATCAGAATTTGACCTCCTATGCCTGTGAATTAAAGACAGGAGGAGCTAAAAGCCACTTGACTGTAAGGAGAGGACTTTCAGGGCTCGATCTATGGCTGCGTCCCGTGGTTTGGTAGAATAGACACTTCCAAGGATAGTCTACACACACAAACCCAATTTCGTTTTTTTAGGGTTATGGTGGCACTATGTTTAAATTGACTTCCCCTCGCCTTCAACCTGCCCCAACTCCCTATATTATCAAATAGAAGACTCAAATATAAGAAATGCAGTAATCCTACCCATTGTGAGAGGCATCTTCCACTTTGTAATTGAA